TGAGTGAGTTGTCCTAGAAGCAAAAAGACACACACGGTATATACTCACTCATATAAACATACAACAGAGGATAAACCTGCTAAAATCTGTACATCCAAACAAACTAAGCAAAAGAGAGGACCCTAACTAAAATTCTCAATCCCCATCCTGAAAGGCATAGAGGATGGACATCAGACGAAGAAGAAAACAGGAAACAATCTAGGAACCTGCTACAGAGGGCCTCTGAAAGCCAGAAGAAGAAACAGGAAACAACCTTGAAACCGGCCACAGAGGGCCTCTGAAAGCCTCTGCCCTGCAGACTATCAAAGCAGATGCTGAGCCTGATGGCCAACTGATGGGCAGAGTGAATGGAATTTTATGTAAGAAGTGGGAAATAGCAAGAGCTGGAGAGGACAGGAACTCCACAAGGAGAGCAATAGAACAAGAAAATTTGAACACAGGAAACTTCCCAGAGACTCATACTCCAACCAAGGACTATTCATGGAGATAACCTAGAACCCCTGGCAGTTCAGTGTCCAAATGGGTTACATAGTAATGGGAAGAGGAACTGCCTCTGACATAATCTGATTGGCCTGCTCTTTGATCACCTCCCCCTGAGGGAGGAGCAGCCTTGCCAGGCCACAGAAGATGACAATGCAGCCACTTCTGATGAGAACTGATAGACTAAGATCAGAAAGAAGGAGAGGAGGACCTCCCCTATCAGTGGACTTGGGGAGGGGCATGCATGCAGAAAGGGAAGGGAGGGTGGGATTGGGAGGGGAGGAGGGAGAGGCTTATGGGGGGGATACAAAATGAATAAAGTATAATTAATAAAAGTTAAATAAAAAAAAACCTGATAGAGGTGTGAAATTCATTGATAAGTATAATGCAATTTCTCTTCCTTAACAGAGGCATTATATTTTTATTGTCCTCTAAGAACTCACTGTAAAATTTACTTTTCAATGTATACATTCTTGTTCTTGTCTGCCAGAGGGCTCACAGAGCAGGCTGGATCCTCTGATAGTGAAATATCCTATGACCTGAGGGCTCCTATACAGGAACTTGGTGAAAGCAAAGAAAACATGCACCACCCCATGAGGCAAGCATCCAGATATCACTAACCTCAGTGCATCTGCAGGCATGGGGACAGGTTTCAACCTCTCTTGCCAGCCTACCCTTGGATCCGTCCATGGGCCCTGCTCTAAGGCCTCCCCAGTCTCCTGTTTTGGTCTGAATCATGGCATGTATGTTTCTTGACCTCTGCCTTTCTTCATCCTCAGTTTCCTCTCATTCCCTGCAAAGGCTATAATGCTTCTGCTCAATTCTTCTACTGTTCATAATCACCTAGAAAAGACTCAACTCCTTTGGAACTGTGGTGGGTTCTAGCTAGAATCAGAATGGAAACAATAGCTGCACTGGAGGCCCTGGAGGAGAAATCTCTGAGAATTATCTCCCAGGGAGAAGTGTCTTCACTTTATTTATCTAGGCTTTCAATGTCTACCCTACAGTAGTTATACAGATCAAGTTGCATGTCAAGGCCAGAAAGCAGCTTGGGCTGACTCACTGCTAAGCTCAGAGCTATGTGAGGACACTATCAGCAGAATCAGCTCCTGTCAATCAATCACTCCTTGTTCTGTATGGGAACATGTCCTTGACTGTTCATGACCAGGAGTTGAACATGAAAGGAGACTGAGTAGATAAATGTTTTCCCCTCACAAAAGAAAATATAAGATTGTTTTACTCAACTACAAATTATTAAAAGAAAAGAACACTTTTAATACTTTCAAGAGATGTTTTTGTCAAATATATTGTTGCTTTTAAGTGGCTCTAAGAAAATAATGTGTGTGACAAGACTTCAGTTTGCAACCAAGTTCAGCAGAGCCAAGGCACACAGAGCCACTGTTTCCTCCCTCATAGATAGAAGCTCTAGTTCATAGCACTGTGCCTCTGTGGGTAAAGCCTGTGCAATTTACTTCAAACAAGGCATGAACTATGGGACTGCTACCATGGTCCTCAGATTTGGGTTGATTCCCACAGAAGTATAAATTCCAGATAAATGACACCTTTCAGTTACAAGATGGCTAAGGGATGCAATGTAGGTCAATACTGTTTGGATCCCTCCACACAGCAGGACACTTTCCATTCCTCACATGCAGTCTAAAATGCATGATCTAACTCTGAGGACACGTCACAATCTGTAACTAAACAGGAAGCCATAAACATTTAGTCTCTGAGGTTTATATTAAAACAGATTTCTGGGAGACAGGGAAACTACAGAAAGCACTCTCACCTATCTGTGGCCTACAAACTGGTAGAAGACAGGCTGTGGAGAGAGAAGCTATTACATACGGAGATCAGTAGTGAAAGTGCCTCCCCTTCTAGATACTGCTTTAATAGGAAGCCTGTGCTCAGATAACAAGGTCCCTCTTTGTGCAACGGCAGTGGTGATCATGACAGATATATCAAGACAAACAGTGATACAAATACTAAAAATGAGCTCTAAGACAGTGAAGTGACTCAATGGACAAGGGTGCTTGCCAAAAATCTAAAGACCCAATGAGTTCAATCCCTGAGACTTACATAGTAAAAAGAAGGAACACCCGCCATGGGTTGTCTTATGACTCATACATATGTGTTGTAGCGCATGTGTCCCCATTTTATGCACATATAAAATATAGAAAAAATAAATGGGGCCACTTCTCCCTGACCACCAAAAGCCCTTAGGTATGAAAATCAACTCCTGGTAATAAATATGGATATCTAAAACATTTATAAAAATACAGTTTTATCTGTATTTTTGTCATCTTTTATGCTTAATGGAAATGTTTCCAAAGAACACATAGCTGAAATTAAGACGGAAGTTCACAGAAGAGCTGTCACTCACTGGGAGATTTGTTCTGCTTGGCATAGCCCTGGAGGGCAGAGGCAGAGCCAAGGGGAGGAAGTTTGAGAAATGTAAAATTTTGATTCTATTTAAGGAAGCACTTTCTAACAATCTGTGTTCTCCAAAAATGGAATTGGCCTTCTCTAGCAGTCTAAGCATTCCAGCAGGGCTAGGTGGCAGTCTGTTGGGGACGGGGAACAGGCCCAGCACTAGGGTGGGGATGTGCTGGTTTGCACTGTTACTTAGACGTATGAAACAAGATGAAATGATCACACTTGGGAGAAATATGAACACATTGGGCAAAGAAGAGGCCTGGAGCTCCAACCTAAGGCTTTATCTTTCCTCCTAAGAAAGTCAACAGGCAGCCACTTGGGGAGTGCTTCATGACCTCAAGGGTCTTACTTGTTCTACTTCCAAGTCAAGTGCATTTTGTGGTTTATAGTATTCTAAAAACAAAACAAAACAAAACAAAAAACAAAAAATTTAAGACAAAAGATGCCGACACTGTTCAACATTACTACAGAGGGTATGTCCTTAGGAGGTTGGAAAATTCGCCCAGGACTCTCAGAACAACACTAAAGCACTGACCCATTCACTGCTTTATTTAGCATACTTAAAATTATGAGTCCTAAGAATAGGACAGGGACAATTTCTTTCTAGAGACATTCTCAAGCAAAGAAAAAGAATACCCAGGGGTGAGAGTTTAGTGGAAAAAGACCTAGAATGCTAATAACAAACGGAATTCTCCAGCAGTCTCAGAGTTTATATTAGCCAGACATCTTGAGAAAACTCCAACCACCACACAAAATACCTCCCAATGATGAACTGAAGCTTCACCCACTGAGCAGTGAGTGCAGACCTTCATGGTTACACAAGAAAGAAGATGGGGACCCTGCCACAGTCAACACATTCAGTGTGATTTTCTTTTCATATTTCCCTCACCCTGTCCCCCCTCCAATGAAACTAATCTCTTCTAGTAACACACAGAAAGCCTACATATACTTAGCTTAGGTGAGGATGCTGGCCCACTTCCACAGCAAACCTGAAATGACAAGCTGGCATTGTTGCCTACAAAGAACTATGTATGTACTCATGGAGGCAACAACTGTAAGCTGCCAGCTCAGTTCAGTTGTCCTTCCAGAGCCCTCCCAACCATAATCTTAGTTTGTAGCAGGGACTATGGTTGGTGAATACAATGTGCACACTCGGCATGGCTGTAGTGATTTCCTGTCTGACTAGGTGCTAGTGGATTTGAATCTGTCTCCTTATCTGGGTTCCTGTGTTGAATTTAATCCCCACTGAGAGGTGGTAAGAAGGAAGAAACTGGCTCCTATCATAGTGCTTAGAGGTGGGGCCTTTGGATGATAGAAGGTGCATAAATACTGGTAGCTTTACAGAGGGAACACACACACCCATACAATTCTCTATCTCCTCTAGTCTCTTGCCATATGATACTGATACCACAATGAAAATTTTCCAGGAAGGCAAATTTCCACTTTGGACCTTAAGTGTAAGCCAAATTAACCCTTATTCTTTATAATAAACTGTAATTAAGAAAAATTAAAAAAAATAAAGTCATCCAAACTCAGGCAGTTTGTTACAGTGACAGAAAGTGAACAAATACACCAGAGGAAGAAAAGAGACACGAATGTGAAAAAACAGAGAATGTGATAACTGAACAGGGCTTATGGGCATTTGAGAGGCTTCTGATGTCATATTGCTAATCAACCTAGGTACACATCAACTAACTGCTTGAAACTGTGGGAAAAAATATCCTATCACCTATGATGGCGTGTTCACAGGAGCTAGTAAGAGAAAAGGGCTGGTGCCCTGACAGGAAAAGCTATGAACTTGTCATGATTCTAAGTCAGGGTTCTTTACAGTTTGGATACAAGGAGATAAGACAGTTGTGTAGGGTTCCATAGCACATAGAAGAGACAATTTACCCAAGCTTCCAAACTGTAAAAATTATCCAGAAAATGAAGGATAGCCTTTATCTTGATCTTACTATAAAACCCAAGTAGGAGGCTATCAACATTAGCACTTACCCCCAATTCCCCCCCAGCAGCTGACCAGCAATGCTGCCCCATGTTCTCAGCAGTGGTCTAGCCGTTCCAGGTGAAGTGTGGATACTCACCTAGTGTGTCCTTGAGGTTCTTCACCAGGGAGCCCTTCTTCAGGCTGTTCTTGCGCTCCACATAGTTGGAAGGCACGTAGCCCGTCCTGTTAGCGGCATTCCTCACCCGCCACCACGTCTTAGAGTCATCCAGCAGCCACAGTCGTTCGTTCTTTCTGATGTCAAGCTCTTGGTCCTGCTGGGCTGTATAGTCCCACTTGGCTATGACAATGACTTCTTCTGTCATCTTTCATGGAGTCCTTCTGCCAGCAAAACATTTAAAGAAGCTCATTAGTTACTGAAACACCTCGTCCTCTGGAGATTTGAAAAGTTAGTTAGTGACAACCTCTGTGGCCACACTGCCTCCAGTCTCCTGCAGTCCCCTGAAACCCTTGCCCTTAAGACGTCCTTCTTGTAAGCTCCAGTGCTGCTGAGAAATAGCATCTTGTAACCAAAGCCTGCAGCCCTTCTCCATGCACTAACTGTGCTGCACATTTTATCAAAGCCAGATGCAAACTTTTGGGGTAAAACCACTCAAAATAACAATCTTATAATTAAGGTGCTCATCTGACGAGTAACACCTGCCCCTTGCCGCTGACAGGCTTACACTCATGTTCTCAGCATATGCTGAGGGCTCTGAAGATGTTTAGTAAATACAACATGCCCAAACTACTCCCATAAACTCAAATTCAAATTAATTTACTACTACTGGAACATGGTACCCTGAGACTGAGAGTAGAGAAAGAAAATTTGTGAAAACACGGTTGAAATGTAAGCAAAGCCGAGGCAACAGCACTGTACCCATGTTAATTAGTTTTGACAATCCAATGTAATATGTTAACACTAGAGAAATTAGCTAAGGGCTAATAATTGTATAGAACATACTACACAAATAACTCTACAACTTTCCTGTAAATATGAATTTTTTCTTGAAAATTGATATCCATAAAAAGCACATTGTTAGATATGTAGGCCACTTTATTCACAACTGCCCAAATTGGGAAATAACAAAGATGTCAGTAGATGAACAGATAAACCAACTGTCTACCTGAGAGTGGAATATTTAAGTGCTGGGAAAAGAGAGGGAAGAAATGCAGATTTCTCCTAGAAGTGAAAGCAGGTAGTGAGGCCAGAAAGGCTGGGCATGTGGATTTGGACATGGGGGGAGGGGCATCCTTTGATCAAACTTTACTGAAGTCCCCAGAACCCTGCTCTCTGTAGCTTTTGTGTCCATCTCTGTTTCACCCAGGTGTAAGCAAAAATCCTCCACCCCTGATACTGATCAGGTTCCTTGCCTCCCACCATGCTGCAGGTGATGTTTGGTCACCTGGCCTCCTTCAGCAAGAATCCTGTTAGGTGGGCTCATCTAGGAACCTCCCCACTACATTTCTCCTCCTCTGGCTGTGAACTCCCACTTATCCTCATATGGGGAGTTGAACTCTGTCTTCCTGACTCTGCTGTAGGACCCCCTAACAGTCTGCCTTGCTGTCTCCTAACTAGGTTTTGAATAACAATTTCACTCTATGATATACGAGGAAAGACAAATATCTGTGGAGATACAGAACCAGTGGGAGGCGGGGAGCGGGTAGAAGCAAGAAATGCAGAAAGATGGTGAATGCATGTAATCATAATTGCAAATACATGTCAAGACACGTCTGTGATCAAAACACACGTTAAAACTACTCCAAAATACAGCTCATTAAAACAACAGCTATGACACAAATATAATGAAGTCAATCTGGGAAGTAATACATAGGAAAGAACACAACACATACTGGCACCACCTACTTCAGCAACTGCACCCTTCACAGGGAGAGGATGGACAAGTGTTCTTGCAGCAGGAAAATGAATATTCAGTCCCTCTACTGACTGGATGTGCCCCTCAATTATAGAAGGAACAATGATAAGACACTTGACAAAACCCCCTCTCTTCTCCTGACAAAGTTCTCTTGATCATACACCATGAGTTCAGAGTCACAGAGGAAACCCATGCCCTTGACCCATGGAGGCATGAATATGTAACATTCTACCATATTCAGGCATATAAGACTAATACATGTCTTCTCACTTATAAATTTCACAGTAGGGGATAAAAAAATCATCTGGAAAGAAGAAAATCCTTGTGAATCATGCATAAAATGTACATAATATCCAAGAGGGTGGAGTTTACACAAAGTTCTTCTCAAAGCTGAAGACAAATAGCTACCTGCAGTCAAAGGACGTCCAATGCATATCTTGTAGCTCACACATCTGATTTCTCTGTCAGATTAGACCTGAAAGTAATTAAGGTAGGCATCTCTTTTAAAGTAAAAAAACAGGAACAATAGCAGTAATAGAAATGAGGCTCAGAAGGAATTCCATTTAAATGCCAGGTTTGCTGCTGAATTATATAATTTCCAAAATGATTTTAAATAGAAACAGATCATTTAAATCAGTTGATATCTAGCCAGCCAAAGCGTCCCGCTGAATCCCTTCTGCATCAACAGTGGTCATGGAAGGGCTTGGGTGCATTTATTTCAGTGCATGCTGAAAGCATGAGGCTTGTAAAAACACAGCTTCCTGCTAAGCCACAGCACAGGGTATTGGAGAGACCAGAAACATGCAGCAGTTGCTAAGGAGTGCAGCAGGCACTGAGTGCAGCTATACAAGAGATAAAGTCACATGTACTTTCTGGGGGTCCAGGGGCCAGATGCCACCAATAGCCCCAGATGCCAGACATGGAGATGCAAAACTTGGTGTTTGTCTGGCTGGGCTTCAGTCTTGATTTGGTGGGATCTTTCCTTGCTATGCCCCAATTCTTATGCCTACTCTGTTACCATATATTGAAAGTATGTGACTTGTTCTTTTATTTTATAGGAGCTCATAGTTAAGATTTGTCTTGGGTCTTGGAAAAGACTTTGGATTTTTAACATTGTTGAAATAGGACTATGAAGCCACGAGCTACTGGGGCCAGGGGTAAAATATGACAATTTAAGTGGTGTGTTTGGATGCCAAGTTCATAAGGGGTGGTCTTCTGGTAGTTAGTTTAACCTGACTGGATTAAAAAGCTCTTAGGGCATTAATGAGGCACAGGGATATGTTGTACATGTTTATGAGGGTGTTTCCAGAGATGTTTAGTTGAGGAAAGATCTACCCTGAATATGGGTGGCTCCAATCCATGGGCTGGCATCCTGTACTGAATACCAAGAGAAAGGAGAACACAAGGAGAAAGGCAGCTGAGCCCCAGTATCCCCTCCCTCCTTCCTGGTCAGGCCACAAACCACACTGCTTCCAGAGTCCTGCCTCCCCTGACATGAAGAACTGTCTTCCTCTGAACTATAAAGCCAAATAAATCCTTTCTCCCTTTGTGGGAGATGGCACTTCTCAGGGGCCCTTCCTCTGCCAATCATATCATAACCTCCTGGAAAGAGCCAGGTAACAGGACACCTTCCTTTCTTCTCCTGTGTCCCCACCCCAAAATCCTTTTCAAGTAGTTTTTACAGGCTTTAGAATGGACCCATGAAACAAAACTGAGCACTAACTGATTCCTAAAGGTACTCCTTAGGTCAAATCTGTGAACACAACAAGAACAAAGGCAGAATGTTCTATCTAGGACCCAATTTTTAAAACTGTCTATTGGAAACCTAGAAGGAGCTGCATAAAGTATGAAGGTCACGAACCATTTGACAACAATAAAAGGTTTACGAATGTGCAACCACAATGCAATTCAGAATCAAGTAAGTAACAGCCTGAGGTGGTCCTCACCCTGCTGAATCACAAACCTCCCTGCGGCCTTGGCTCTGCATGTGCAATACACCACACAAACTTAACCAAGCTTCTAAACACCTCAGCTCAGATTCCAGACTGGACTGAGAATCCTCCTGTCTGAACAAAATCTTCTGCTTTTAAAGAAACAGAATGGTTTAATTATGGGGGAGAAGACATAACAGTCTCCTGCTGTGGGTTGTATCATGTTAGAATGTTTGGTTCTTAAATATGCTCAGTCGCCAACATAAGCTTCATAGAACAGTGTTGATAAACTAAGGCCTGGTAATTCCAACAGAATCTCCAACAATTTCAGACATGGTCCTATGTACATTTTTGATATTTCTGTATACTGTATGTGAAGCAGTGATTTCAGAATTGCTGATTATAAAATAAAAATATCAACTTTGAAAAATGTTAAAGATTATCTTCATCCTGCAAAACCAAATATTAAGTAGAGATTTAATTCCTCATGTAAAAATAAACAAACTCATCTCATTAGTGTGCAAACATGCTCTCCAGTGACATGAGGTTATAAACGGAAAAGTTTAAGAAGCCCTGATACAGGAAGTAAATTCTGATACTTGATGCTCATCCTAACCCTGAGAACGGCCACCATCTACTCTTGGCTGCATACTTGAGGACACTGGGAATCAGAGATGAAGCAGCTTGTGTAGCTACAAAGCAAGGATCTTCACCCAGGACTATAACTCCCAAATCTGTTGGGCAACACAAACTGGACTCCATGGGTCTTTGAAGAGGAGAAGGAGGCAGCGAGAGAGGAAGAGGAGGAGGAGAAGGAAGAAGAGGAGAGGAAGAAGAGGAAAAGGAGGAGGGAAACTCAGAAAAAGGAAAGAGAGGATGGAAAGGGTAGCCTGGGTATGTGTGAATATGATCCAAACACATGAAAAATCTCAAAGAAAAAATATTATTAAAAAAGAAATAACATTTAATGATTATTAAAGGTTTTAATAAAGATTAATATAACTACTGGAGGACTGCCAACCTAACATGAGAAAAAAAACACACAGTATATCACAAACAAAATTTAAAATATATACATAGGCAGGAGGGCAAAATGAGCCTAACACTTTACTGGCAAGATACTGACTTATTTAATACATCAGAAAAATTTCATCTGTGTGCATGTGTATACAGACATACCAGAGTGTGTATCTGTAAGCAAGATACTGACAGAGACTAAAACAGGGGGTGAAGGGTGCAAATTGAGACCAAACAGAGAAAGGTGTCATCCCAATGTCAGTTTTCAACAAATTCTGAATTATTCAAATCATGTAACAACTTCATGGAGTATCTCTGGAATTCCTTTCTTTTTACGCAATATATCATGCCTTGGGTGGTGGAGGATTACAACTGATCAACTCACCAAAACTCAACACAGGCTTTGCAAGATATGGTAAGCATATGTCCGCACTACAGAGTGCACCTAAGGATCTGTTGGATTACATGGCCACAGAAAGTAAGGTCACTAACTCTGCTCCTCTTCAGATGAGGAGAT